AAAACAATTCCAGGGGGTTTTGTTTAGGCACATCTTCTGGGGTGGGCACAGGGAATTTTTAAAATTTGCGTATTTTATTAAAAATTTATAAGTTATTTTAAAAGTGTGGATAGGGGGTTCGTAAGGGCAGGCAAAGAATTTCGTGATAAGGGGGCAAAAGTTAACATATAAATAAAACAATTCCAGGGGGTTTTGTTTAGGCACATCTTCTGGGGTGGGCACGGGGAATTTTTAAAGTTTGCGTATTTTACTAAGAGTTTATAAGTTAATTTATACGCGTGGATAGGGGGTTCGTAAGGGCAGGCAAAGAATTTCGTGATAAGGGGGCAGAAGTTAACATATAAATAAAACAATTCCAGGGGGTTTTGTTTAGGCACATCTTCTGGGGTGGGCACGGGGAATTTTTAAAATTTGCGTATTTTATTAAAAATTTATAAGTTATTTTAAAAGTGTGGATAGGGGGTTCGTAAGGGCAGGCAAAAATTTTTTGAGATAAGGGGGCAGAAGTTAACATATAAATAAAACAATTCCAGGGGGTATTCCTTAGGCACATCTTTTGGGGTGGGCACAGGGAATTTTTTAAATTTGCGTATTTCATTAAAAATTTATAAGTTATTTTAAAAGTGTGGATAGGGGGTTCGTAAGGGCAGGCAAAGAATTTCGTGATAAGGGGGCAAAAGTTAACATATAAATAAAACAATTCCAGGGGGTTTTGTTTAGGCACATCTTCTGGGGTGGGCACGGGGAATTTTTAAAGTTTGCGTATTTTACTAAGAGTTTATAAGTTAATTTATACGCGTGGATAGGGGGTTCGTAAGGGCAGGCAAAGAATTTCGTGATAAGGGGGCAGAAGTTAACATATAAATAAAACAATTCCAGGGGGTTTTGTTTAGGCACATCTTCTGAGGTGGGCACGGGGAATTTTTAAAATTTGCGTATTTTATTAAAAATTTATAAGTTATTTTAAAAGTGTGGATAGGGGGTTCGTAAGGGCAGGCAAAAAATTTTGTGATAAGGGGGCAGAAGTTAACATATAAATAAAACAATTCAAGGGGGTTTTGTTTAGGCACATCTTCTGGGGTGGGCACGGGGAATTTTTAAAGTTTGCGTATTTTATTAAAAATTTATAAGTTATTTTAAAAGTGTGGATAGGGGGTTCGTAAGGGCAGAAAAAAAATTTTGTGATAAGGGGGCAGAAGTTAACATATAATAAAACAATTCCAGGGGTTTTGTTTAGGCACATCTTCTGGGGTGGGCACGGGGAATTTTTAAAGTTTGCGTATTTTACTAAGAGTTTATAAGTTAATTTATACGCGTGAAATACGCAAATTTAAAAAATTCCCTGTGCCCACCCCAAAAGATGTGCCTAAGGAATACCCCCTGGAATTGTTTTATTTATATGTTAACTTTTGCCCCCTTATCACGAAATTCTTTGCCTGCCCTTACGAACCCCCTATCCACGCGTATAAATTAACTTATAAACTCTTAGTAAAATACGCAAACTTTAAAAATTCCCCGTGCCCACCCCAGAAGATGTGCCTAAACAAAACCCCCTGGAATTGTTTTACTTATATGTTAACTTTTGCCCCCTTATCATGAAATTCTTTGCCTGCCCTTACGAACCCCCTATCCACACTTTTAAAATAACTTATAAATTTGTAATAAAATACGCAAACTTTAAAAATTCCCCGTGCCCACCCCAAAAGATGTGCCTAAGCAATACCCCCTGGAATTGTTTTATTTATATGTTAACTTTTTCCCCCTTATCACGAAATTCTTTGCCTGCCCTTACGAACCCCCTATCCACGCGTATAAATTAACTTATAAACTCTTAGAAAAATACGCAAACTTTAAAAATTCCCCGTGCCCACCCCAGAAGATGTGCCTAAACAAAACCCCCTGGAATTGTTTTATTTATATGTTAACTTCTGCCCCCTTATCACAAAATTTTTTGCCTGCCCTTACGAAACCCCTATCCACACTTTTAAAATAACTTATAAATTTTTAATAAAATACGCAAATTTTAAAAATTCCCCGTGCCCACCCCAGAAGATGTGCCTAAACAAAACCCCCTGGAATTGTTTTATTTATATGTTAACTTCTGCCCCCTTATCACGAAATTCTTTGCCTGCCCTTACGAACCCCCTATCCACACTTTTAAAATAACTTATAAATTTTTAATAAAATACGTAAATTTTAAAAATTCCCTGTGCCCACCCCAAAAGATGTGCCTAAACAAAACCCCCTGGAATTATTTAATTTATATGTTAACTTTTGCCCCCTTATCACGAAATTCTTTGCCTGCCCTTACGAACCCCCTATCCACGCGTATAAATTAACTTATAAACTCTTAGTAAAATACGCAAATTTTAAAAGTTCCCCGTGCCCACCCCAAAAGATGTGCCTAAACAAAACCCCCTGGAATTGTTTTATTTATATGTTAACTCTGGTCCCCTTATCACGTAATTTTTTGCCTGCCCTTGCAAACCACCATCAACACATACAATATAGAACTGTAGACTATAGAAACATTTTTATAAAATACGCAAATTTAATATTTTACACCAATAGATGTTTCTCAATAAAGCCTACTTGAATTGAATTTAACTTTTAATGGTATTAATAATCGAACACTTTACAAATTGCTGTTTTGCCTTGCTAACCTCACTTTTTAAAACGTCTTTTAAAACAAATTACTTGAAATACACGAAGTTTAAAAGGTCTCTGTCTCTATATCCCTGGGTTTACTTTTATTTAAATCTAAATTTTTAATCGCGAGCTTGATAGATTTCTGTTAAAAGATATTAAATTAAAACTATACACAATTTTATAAATAATCAACCCACTGTGCGCTGCGCGCTCTAGCGGCCGACCGCGAACCTGTTTAGGAATGTGTGGCTGGAGATGCAGTGGCGTGCAGGACGGGCCCCGCAGGGCCCGCGGTGCGGGGGGGCCCCCGACCTTAGGGGGGCCCCGTAGAGAACCACATTGGGTGGTTTAAGTGACAAAGGGGCCCCAGCTCAAAATTTGCGGGGGGGGCCCCGATCACCTTTGCACGCTACTGTGGAGATGTGTGGATAACTTCACACAAACAATCATTTTACAGAATATAAATATAATATTTTATAAAATAGTTTTAAAATATTCTAATTGATCTCTGATATTATAACGTATATTTTATATGTAAATTATTTACACTAATTACACTAGTTTACAAAATCGAAAAAAAATTCTTCCCACCATATAATGTTTCCATGTTTTTTGACCCACTAAACACGAAAATCACAAAAAAAATGTATGGAAGCGTTTTTGAAATTTGAATTTTCAATTTTTTTTTAAATTTTCGGAGGTGTTTTGATGTTTTTGAGTATAGCTTGAAATCTAATTAATCGATTTGGTCAAACAATCCCTTAAATTGAAGGTATTTGCAGTAGCGTGCAAAGGTGATCGGGGGCCCCCCCGCAAATTTTGAGCTGGGGCCCCTTTGTCACTTATACCATCCAATGTGGTTCTCTACGGGGCCCCCCTAAGGTCGGGGGCCCCCCCGCACCGCGGGCCCTGCGGGGCCCGTCCTGCACGCCACTGGGTATTTGAGCCCTCTAAAACTTTATTTTACATACTTCTGATATCGGATAGGTATTTTGACGCTAGCGATTTTAATAACTTAAAAAATTCGTTTTTATGGCAAATATTGAGATCGAAAATACATATCGTCCTGGGAAAGGTTTTAATCAAACAAATAACTCCAGTTTGGATTTTTTTTCGTGAGGCTGACATTTTTACAAAAAAAAACTAATGTTGATAAAAATACATGAAAAAATGGCGAAGCTATAAATTTTTTAGTGGAAGACCAAAATTAAGCTTTTTGACGATTTTTATTTTATTTTTTTTCTTTTATTTCGTAATATGTTTATTTTTTAATGAAAACCTAATTAAAGTGCATGATTGGAATTTTTTTACGTATCTACTTTTTTCGGCGAAAACTTATTTTTCTCCTTTAAGTATAATCTATACGTAAAATAAATCAAACTGGTCTTATCTTTTCGATTTCTATCTTTCCCAGAAAGATATGTAAATTTTTGACCTCGATTTTTGTAAAAAAAGGACTTCATAAAATCGCCAGTATCGAACTACGGAGCTGATACCAAAACTATACAAGAGAAAGTTGTAGATTGCTAATCACAATAATTACATTTTCTTATAGCAAAATCCAATAATCCATCTGGAAGATGGGACAATAAAGGGCACAATTAACAGAACTGAAGGTAAAGGATTGGAATATCATGCTTTTAGAGGAATTCCATATGCTGCCCCACCCATAGGATGCCTCAGGTTTAAAGTAATTTAGCCATTTTTATTAAATTACATTTATGGTTATTATGTATATATAAAAACAAGTATGTGTTTTGAAAGTTTCACGTGATTTATTTAATTTTTGACAATTTTATTTTTTTATCTACATAATAATAATAATATGGAGTTTCATCAAGTAAAGGTCGAAACAATTAAACAATTAAACATTTATAGGTACGAGTACCTAGGTATTTCTTTTATTATTATCCCGCAAAACAAACCTGAGTTAATTTATTTTTTTATGTATTTTACCTTACGTCGTTAGTTTTCAATGCATACAAGTGCATATATGATCAAATGATTGCTTAATTGCGCATGCGTATTTTTGAGTTAAAATTATTATATCCCTATGTGCGCATGCCCGCGCCACTTAATTTCAAATTAATAACTCACTATAATTTCTTTCACATCCCATGCATGAGTTGAATTTATGCATACATTCATGAGAAATCACGGCCTGAGGTAAACTGAGAAAAATCTGAACTCAGAGTTGCTGTTAGGATTATACTGTACAGTTTTACAAATATCTCGCTACAATTTATTGGCAAAATTGAAAAATAATTTAAGAACATAATTTAAACAATTAGACTTTTTTAAATGTATAAGAACGTTTATACAGCACATTTGTATAAAAATAATCTTTTTAGCCACCTCAGTCTCCAAAAAAATGGCCTGGAGTATTAGATGCAACTAAAGATGGTCCCCAATGTGTCGAAACCGATTTGAGGGATATGACAACTATTAAAGGCCAGGAAGACTGTCTTACTATTAACGTATATACCCCTGCAATAGGTGTTAGTAAATACTATTCATAACGTTCTCTAAATATAAATGTATTTTTTTAAGTGTAAGCTTAAGGTAATGATTCCCACAATGGTATGGATTTACGGTGGAGCATTCATCGGAGGAACAAGTTCAAATGAAAAATTTGGACCAGACTATCTTTTGGACAACTGCGTATGTTTTGTTAGCTTTAATTATCGAGTGGGGATATTTGGTTTTATCAGTACCGGTGACACGGAGTCTCTGGGTAATTACGGATTGAAAGATCAGATATTCGCTCTGCAATGGGTACAAAGAAACATAGAAAAGTTTGGATGTAATAAAAGTAATGTTTTGTTGTTTGGAGAAAGTGCTGGGTCCGCATCTATCTCTATTTTAACCCAAGTTAAAAAAACAGAGGGTATGTATTGATATTATGTTTTTTTATATAAAAATTACAATTTTATTAAGGGTTATTCCACAAAGCCATTATGGAAAGTGGTACAAGTCTATGCATGTGGTCTAGAGCAAGACAAGCTAGAAAGTTAGCATTTCAATTTGGAAACCATTTAGGGATAAGAACAAAGCAATCAAAAGTTTTAATACAAAGCTTGAGAAATAAAACCACACAAGAATTGCAAAGAACCTTTATTTTAAAGCTATTTCAAGTATGGTAATACAAAAATTAATATAAACTTTTAAAAGATTTTTTTAGGAAGTAAAAGGCGATCCACTAAATAACCTTATGGGTATAGGACCGGTAATTGAATCTCAATCAAATGAGTCTATTTTTACATCGCAAAGTTACGAGGCTATTAATAACGGGTACTCTCATAAAATACCCATGATTATAGGCTTTAATTCTAACGAGGCCGCTACTATGGATTTTTATCCCTTATCGAGTAAGAAGTTATACAACAAAATAAGTATGAGTATGAGAGTTCTTAACTGGCCCCATTGCTTCATCTCTCCCGAGCCCCGCAAAAACATCCATTACCGTACGCCGTTTTTTTCGCTACCAGCAACTGAACGGCTTCTCCCGTGTTTGCTGGGTGCAATGGTCCACCGCGTCCCATACTACATAGGGATGCGCATCGAATATTCGATGTTCGTCAAACATCGATTTTAATGAAGTGAACATCGATTTTTTAACATCGATCTTGCATTTTCGATGTTTTAATGACATCGATGTTAGACTTTGCGATGTTACTGTATAACAAATTAAATTAAAAAAAGAGAATTTAAGTTTATTTTGTTTATTTTTTTATGTGTATTTTTTTATAAGTTGGAAATAATTATATTTTATACATGTTTTTCTTAGACTTGTGTTTTAGTTTGAAACATCGATTTTTTGGAAAAATCGATGTTTTCTACCCGATATATCGATGACATCGATATTCAACCTTCGATGTCAACATCGATGCCAACATCGATGTTTTTGTATTCGATGCGCATCCCTAATACTACACTGTTTGGCTCGAGGGCGACATGCCAATAGTTTGTAATAGCCCAGTTGGATCATAAAGGAGGTCTAGACGGGGGATAGACCTTTTGGTATTTAGAGGACAATTACGCTAACTCAAATCCGTGTACGATGCGGAATTCTCGCAGGATGTTAATATTACTATAAACATTTTGTATTACTGTTTGCAGTTGGGAAATTGGTAGTTCGCAGGAAGGGCCTATCCTAGTTGTAGTCTACATCTTGTCCATCGTTGTCAGTACTGACTTAATAGAAGATTCAACCAGTCGTTATTTTACTGGGCTGAAAACTGGAAAAAAATAAGAAACAGCTATTCACAAATGATTTGCCCCACTGTGCGAAAACGTTAACTTTACCGTGCGTAATCCATTAATTTGTCATCAGTATTGCTCTTTATACGGGTGTATTAACTTTTCTGTGATTAGGTTGTTCTTAGTTTCTTAATTTATTGCCAGTTCGTTGAGTGTCTTTTGTCTCGTTTAGTTTTAAACACTATTTTTTATTGGAGTACGCCTATTATTCTGCCATGCTGAGCTAAACCCCCGTATCTGCAAAATTAAATAATAAAGGACAAAAGATAGTCTTTATTGTTTTAACAATGAAAATGATCTTTTATTCTTTAATACTTAATTTTGTACATACGGGGGTTTGGCTTAACAGGGCAGTATTATGGGTTTGCGACACTTGATTATTGGTTTATTTATACTACTGTGCTATTCCAATAAATTACCGCTATTCAAAATAGGAACTCCTTGTTTTTGTTTTTTTTTTTCATTGTTTTTTCTTAATATTGTCGTGGTACTAATGCTCTTTGTTTTTGTTTTTTTCTAGTGGTTGTGTTAACGCGGAAAATAGGAATGCTAACAAATTAAATAAAAATATTCTATCCAACACATGACAGTTATGACTGTCATTATTAATGTCATTTTAGACAAGTAAACTATCAAATAACACACTAGTGTGTTTTAATCCATAACTCACTAGTGAGTTGTAGTCATTGTAAAATTCGTTGGTTCATTGGAACCAGACGCTCCCATATCGGTACAGCTGCTGATAGTGCTGAAAGACACCGACGCATTAGAATCTTGTATTTTTTCTGCAATTTGTATTTTGTTATGCACCGATTCTTCTAGGTATCCTTCTGCTACCGTCGAGGATTTCCATCCTCCGTGACTCTTCAAAGTAGTCATCTTAGCCCCTGCATTGGCCAAAAGAGTCGCCGAAGACCTTCTCAGGCAGTGACCGGTGTAGAGCGCTGGTTCCTCCAATTTCCGCAAACATTGCAATTCTTGAAGGTATCTTCGACAACGTATTTATTCCCACACACTGGCTGGTACCCCAAGTAACATGTTTAGTTTTATTATTTATTAAACAAAAAAGCGGCTAGAACTAGTATTCTTTGGTCTCAAAGACATGTATTTTTTACACAAATTGATCGGGTTGACTGGAAATCGTTCTTCAAGTATGGTGAAACTTCTCATTTTCTTGGTTTTAGTGTCTGGCAAAACTACTTGAAAATATTTCCCTTTGTCTCGAATATTTTCTATTTTCAAATTGACCAATTCATCGCATCTACAAGCACCGCTAATCCTCATTACCAAAGCCACTTTCATCAACAGATACTCGTCGTCGGGAGCTTCGTTCAAAAACTTCTCTATTTCAGATCGTTCTAATGACTTGGACTTCTTTGGTTTCCCTGCTTAAAATACCCCATAAAGACCCTGTTCAAACCGATAGATATTTATATCGGAATGTATGGTGTATGGAAAATACACATAAATGTAGAATAGTATATTCTGTAACAAGTTTGGAATACAGCATATTCCGCTCGAGTGAAGAGTTTGTCACACGAGCCGAAGGCGAGTTTTACGGTTTCACGAGAGCGGAATATGCAATTCCAAACGTGTTTCAGACTATACTTTTTCTACTTTTCCAAAAAATACCATAGAAAAATAATTTAATTGGAAGAAAGTAAGGTTGGATCGGTCTAAAATTTGTTAGATATTAAAAACAGAGATGTCGCTACGAGTGTTTATTCTGTAATCGGATGATAGAATATTTCATTCTGTAGCACTTTACGGAATATATGTCATTCCACAGACAAAAGTGTCAAATTCCGTAATAGGAGTAGAAAAATTAGTTTTTCCCCCATAGAACCCTATAGGTTTTAATAAAATTTTGACAAATGTTTTATGGTTGCTCTATAGGGATATCCCTATATATCCTTCATAGAGTTATTTGCTATCGGTCTCAATAGGGAAAATGTAAAAGTTATGGTGTGCCTATAGGTAATTTCCCATAAAATTTCTATCGGGCCGTATCCAGAAAAACCCATGGACAAATGCACATATTGAATCCGGTAGGGCCTGATAGATTATTTTGTATAGGTCTCTCTATGGGGTATTTTAAGCAGGGTTGTATCCCTGTGATTTGCTTTTCAATAAGCTCGTTAGTTTGCCATATTTTGAAATGTCGATTTTTTTATAAAGGTGAATAGTCGAGCGAAGCATCGAGTATTTGGTCCATAGCGACGACGGGGCTAATTTTTTTTGCAAATGTAAAAAATAAGCCAATAGAACATTTTCAACGATACCTTTTATCTTCCGTGAATTCATCCAAGACTCAAACATTTTGAACTCCTTGTCGTAAGCGTTGTTTTTTTCAAAAAAAGCTTCCCTTTTTTTGCAGGGAAAACTGACAAGTGTCAAAATTTATTTAGACATTTGCTAACAATGTATCATGCCCGTAGCAACCAAACAAACAACCTACTTTGACCAAAATGTAAAAAAGTCACTGTCAAGTCATTCTGACATTTATAGGGTAATGAGACGCAAGTAGCTTTGATTTGATCACAAAGCTTATTAATTATTATCTCATAAAAAAACGCTTTCTTCCACTTGTTGGATAAAACATTGTATGTCACTCTTGTGTTATGTTTCCTAAGTCACTTGAAAGTTTATAATTTATTTATAAATCTTTCTCGCGTGACTTATTTTCAACATTTATGTTGAAAATAAGCCACGCGAGAAAGATTTATAAAGATTTATGTGTTATAACATACTAGTATGGTAGAATATATTATCTGGTTTTTCAAAAACAACATTTTAGCAATTTTAAAAATGTATGGATTTTCCTATAAAAAATACTTGGAAAGGGTGGTTCCAATAAACATGAATATTAAAGGTTTTATTTCAAAGATTGTGGGTTATATTATCAATGGTAGATATTTTGGAAAGATTCGACAGAAAATTCAGGAATTCAACAGTTTCATGAGGGTAAAAAACTAAATCCAAAGGGTGTCCCAAAATGATTTATCCAGGCTGGCATATCAGTGGGGTGGAACAAAATATATGAATATTTTTTAACAATAAAGGTCCCTGGCGAAAATAAAGCGTGCACGAAAAGTGTGCAATAAGTGTGTATTTAGAGTGCAAGTCTTTATAACAATGCGCATAGACGCTATTTTGTGGTAATGTCACACTTTTTGAAATAATTTAGTTTTTTCACTCTTTATGCACATTGACATCAAGCTTTTTATTTTTCACTTGTCACGCTTATATTAAATTATTTTTTTGCACATTGTTTGCACAGTTTTAGTACATTGTTTAAAGATAATTTTGCAAAGCTTCAGTCTATCTTACGCATGTCACATTTTATACACACTGTTAATGTGCTATAAAAAGGTGTAATATAAGCGTGATAAATGGTAAATTTTTGGTTTTGCACATTGTTTCATGTTTCATTTCCCACCCTCTGCACATTGTTCTCAAATTTTGCACACTTTTTGCACATTTCATTTTCGCCAGGGGTGCTTTAAAATAATAGTGAAAACATTGTTTACAAAAAAGCCACCCTTAAAAATTTAGCCCTCACCCTGATATTTTAAATAACTATATATTTTATTACGTTTTCGGATTTATTAATCTATTTAAAACTTTTTTCTACTCCAACCTGTAAAACGCCTATTATCGTACATGTTTCCATGACACTAAGTGATCTTTTAAGTACACAGAGTAAAGTTGTGGCTTTATGGCGTTTTAGTCACGGGCTGAAGTTTTAAGTGTCAAATGTCATAAAATCGTTAAAAAGTGCCCTTCTTGTGAAATAATAATGTGGAAACTATGTTATTATCTTAATACAAAAATAAAAAGTAATACATAGTTTCTCACCGACAATACCTATTTAAAAAGTTTATATGCAAGTTTGTAGGTAGATACTGTACCTTTTGATTTTGCCGGCAGTAAACTAGATTTAACTAAAAATTTCGGGTGGAGACTCCAACGTGAAGTGCCCAGAAAACATTCTCTTCACTTTTACTGTGAAAAACTTCCCCTCTATCATCATTAAAACAGTTGTTAGTCCATTTTCAAAGAATAAATTTTGATTTGCACATTCAAATTTGACATTTTGACTGGCGCACCGGTAATACAGATTTTTAAGTTAGAAATTTTTATGCGAGTTACTCAATTTTTTTATAGATATAGCTCTCTAAAAATATTTAATTTAAATCAATTTTAGATATCTAATAATAATAAGTATTTGTCGTAAAAAAGTATCGTATGCAACTGGTTTATAACCTTTTCAAGACACTCATTTAAATCAACACTCGCTCGCAAGCTCGCTCGTACCTAATTAATAATTCGTTACTAAAATGACGTTTCAAACTTGATACATAATATACTATTAACACTGCTCTGGTTGTAAATGGGTTAATAAATAACTAAGCAAAATAAGTCTTAAATTAAGTTAATCCATGTAAATAAACCTGTAATTTTAAACTAAACCCATGCAGTAAAAACAATTAAAAATCCAACACAAGTTTTACAGATGTTTTGTCAACCCAATTAATGGGAAGAGAAATGTGTATTTTCTTAGCATATTGCTAGCTAATTTTTTAACTGAATAAAGTATTGTTTAAGTAGGTATATACAATTGTAAATCTTAAAAAAAATAAAAGGGCTAAATTTAGAGGTAGCTTTTTATTAAAAAATGTTTAAATATTTATTTAAAGCATCTTTATAATATAGTTTTGTTTCAGTAAAATATTACAAACGGTTTAAAAACTAGATCATGGCTAAATAAATTTTGAAGACCCTATATACAGGGTGCACCAGGTGTCCTATGTCTTTTATGTATTTTTTTGTATTTAACGAGCTGCAAAGTCGGTTATATTAATGATTTTTTTAAATTGGAAAAATTGCGCGCTGCCGCGGTTCTTAAAATATTTGAAAAAAACTGAAAACTATCAAAACCAATAATCGTTAGATATTCCTGGGATTTTCGAAAAAAATAAGATTTACATGTAAACATACCTATACATTTATCATCAAATTTCTTCGCTACTATATTTTGAGTTACCATGCATGGTAATGTAGATAAATTGGTATGTAGGTATGTTTACATATTATAAAAGGAAAATATGATGATGCATCACCTTATTTTGTATTTAAATGGCCGCCGTTTCTTATGTTTGATACATCGTTGGATTCCTTTTTTTATCTTACCATGTAAAATTTTAATATGGCGGCCGTAGGAAAAACAAAAGATGGTGGTAATAATTCAAAACCTATTGGACGAAAAAAAACTACCATCAAAATGTAGATTAATGTGTTTTTTTTAAATTCCAGGAAAATCGAAGTTACAACGATTTTTTGTTTTGACAGGTTTTTAGTTTTTTTTAATTTTCAAATGACATTTTAATGGACTAAAAAAGTTACCCATATATAAAGGAGGATACTTGGTGCATTATGTATATATTTAATTACCAGTATATCAATATTTTTAGTACATAAGCCACACACTATTCATAAAACCGATTATTACTACTGCCCAATTGCAATCAAAGTACAGCAAAGTATTCCTTTATAAATTTTCCTACTTCAATGAGTGGGGAAGTAATGTAGTAAGAAGTATAAAAGGTTTATTGGGATAAATGAATCTTATTTACATTTTAATACAATAAAATTTTAGGCGTTGGCCATAACGAAGAACTTTCCTATATTTTTAAAAGATATCGAAATTACAACATATCAGCTTGTGCGAGTAAAATAAGAAATACCATGTGCAAATTGTGGACAAATATGGCACACACTGGGTAAAAGATTTAAAATTATATTAGTTGTATTGTATTAAAAATATTTGTTTTAGAAATCCAACAGTTGGGCCAACTGGTTACAAACTAGAAATACAATGGACAAAAGTAAATGCATCTAATGTATCTCTGTTAAATATAGATAGAAACAGTTATATGATACAGAATCCTTACTCCAAAACATTAACATTTTGGAAAGATCTTTATAAAAAATATGCTAAACGGCCATTTGATACCTATTAGTTTAGGTACATGTAAGTAATAAATTAATGTTAAAATCATTGTTTTTATTTGGTAAATATACTTTATTGATATTTACATTGTATTATTTAACCGTTTGCTAAACCTTGAAGCAGTGGCCGAACTACAAAATTATTTCCGTAAAATTGGTTAGTTGGGCAGAAGCACTCACCCCAGTGACTGACTGACCTTTTGCCGTATAGTAGTTCCGCCACTGCATTGGAACCTTTTTATATTAAATTAAATAAATAACACAGTACAACACGATTTTCCTCCCATGACAAATTTTAACAGATTTTAAAAATAAAGGTTAAAACAACGTACCCGTGTCTTACCGTTTAACGAAATCACGTCATTTAATTTTTTTTACACATCCATTCTTATTATTTTAACTTAAACAGATTTTTGTCTCTATTTTGTTATAAATCATTTTTTTTCTTCAAATATTTTATGTTTTTAAATCATACCAAATTATACTTAACAATAACAATTTAATTTTTTTCAAGTAAAAAAAATATTTCCGGTTTTAATTTTTGATTTTTTTTAATTAATAAAACAACAGATTTGTATTTATCTTATATTAAATATATGTTGGAAACAAATCTTGATCTTTAAGTTTGACGATTATACAATGCTTTCGAAATTATATTGGTATCCCAACCCAGTGGCGGCTGGTGGATTTTGGGCACCCCCATATCTCAGTTATTAGACATGGGACCCACATCAAATTTATATGAGTTTATTATTTATTTTACTAAATTAAAGAAAAAATAGAAATGGTATAAAATCTGAAATACTTGAATTTTTTTAAAAAAATTTAAAATTTGTCGATAATTAAATATTGTACCACTTTAATTTGAATTATCTTAATTTGGGGAGGCAGGAGGCTGGGGGGGGGGGGCACACTTAAAAACTAACATTTTTTCGCAAACTTCAATTTAAATTCTGCTTGCGCAGAACTTGTCTATATAATGTCATTATAAACTCATATAAATTTTATGTGGGTCCCATTTCTAATAACTGAGATATGGGGGTGCCCAAAATCCACCAGCCGCCACTCTCCCAACCTAAAAACACCACTTGATATACATGGTGTTTCACATTCGTGGTCCATTTTAAGTTTCTGGAGAACGGAAAAAATATAGATTTGAAATTTAAAAGCGTTTATAATCCATTTAAGTCTATTTTTTTTAATATTTTGAACAAAATGCAACTTCCGGTTTTAAATTCTACATAAAATTCTGAGTACCTAAAATTACTATGCCATGTCATATACCTAAAGTGAATAGTTTTCTAGATGTTTGCTATTATAATATATACGGATATGAGGGTAAAATGTTTGGAATCATTGTTTAAAAAATTCCATGTCAATCTTTAAAATTGTTCAACAAATTACCCGAGAAACCACAGGGCAAATTAAACAAATTAAACGTTAATAACTTTTTTATTTTAAATGTAACACCCGGTATGTTAAGAAATTGACATGAAATCTTTTAAACAATGTTTTAAGATTCCAAAAATTTCACCCCAATTTCTGCAAACCTAATCCATCCATTTACTCTAGGTATAGGACATGGTGCAGTAATTTTACTCAAAATTTTATGTAGAATTTAAAAATGTAAAAATATATGGGGTGTTCCGTTTAAAATAACAAAGTTGATGTAACTTTCGGTCAAGCCGGAAGTGGCATTTTGTTTAAAATATTTTAGAAAAATAGGCTTAGTTGGATTATAAACGCTAAGGTTCAAATCTATATCTTTTGCTGTTCTTCAGAAACTCCCAATGGACCACGAACGTGAAACACCCGTATTTCTTAAATGTGCAACACCCTGTATATAATTAAAATAATTTTAAAATAATTAAATAATCTTAATGGTTGTCCATTTATTCAGTGAATTTTATTAAAATAAAAAAAATATTTAAAATGGTATAAAACCTGTAATATTTGGATTTTTTAAAGAAAATTTTAAATTTGTCGATAAATTATAGTAAATAGTAAATTTCACCACTTTAATTTGAATTATCTCAAATAGGGGGCCTGGAGGCAGGTGAGGCAACAGGAAAAACTAACTTTTTTTCGCTAACTTCAATTTAAATTCTGTTTTCGTTGAACTTGTTTATTTAATGTCATTATAAACTATTATAAATTTGGTGTGGGTCCCATGTCTAATAACTGAGATATTGGTATACCCAAAATCCACCAGCCGCCACTGATGGGTACATAAAAGAGACTTTATAATAGTATATTATATATCAAGTTTTATAAACGCCATTTTAGTTACGACTTTTATTAGGCACGAGCGAAGCTTGCAAGCAAGTGTTTAATAAAAAACGAGTGTCTAGAAAAGTTTATAAATGAGTTGCATACTATACTCTTCACTGGGGTTGTTGAGAGTTGGTTCGCCGAGAATGGCCTCATACTTAACAAGGATAAAACCCAGTGTATTTATTTTAATAATATAAAGTCAAGGTTTGAAAGTATAAATACAATAAAAGTGTTTGACACAACCATTGATTTAGCAAAAAATACAAAGTTTTTGGGAGTTCACATTGATGAAAATTTAAACTGGAAGGTACATGTTGAACAACTTTGCAAAAACTTTATAAATCATATTACTCCTTTAGAGTAATTCCATCATATGTAGACTTTTAAACCTTAAAAACATTGTATTTTGCAAATATTCAATCCTTGTTGAGATATGCTATCATTTTCTGGTACTAACGTTGGAGATATTTTTGTAATACAAAAAAAGGTCTTGCGCACAATGTTGGAACTATGACACATGGAATCATGCAGAGGTATTTTTAAAACAAACAAAATCTTAACCATTTATGGTCTTTATGCTTGTGAACTTGTCTTATTTATGTACAAAAATAAATTTTTATTTCAAGATCTAAAATCTTTAAGCACAAGACACAATTATTTTTATTACCCTTATCATAGGTTATCAATATACGAAAAAGGCTGTTTTTATGCATGTATAAAAGTATTTAATAGTCTACCTGCTAATATCAAGGAAATTAACAACCTAAATTTCCTTAAGAAGGAATTGTTTAACTATTTTTGTGATCTGGAGCCATACTCCTTTCATGATTTGTTTTTACATTGAAAGTATTTATGTATTTTTTGACTTTTTTCTTTTTTGTACATATTATTGTGTTTTTTCTTGTAATTTAATGTGCAAATTTTTGAAAATAAACGATATTATTATTATTATTATTATTATTATTATTATTATTATTATTATTATTATTATTATTATTATTATTATTATTATTATTATTATTATTATTATTATTATTATTATTATTATTATTATTATTATTATTATTATTATTATTATTATTATTATTATTATTATTATCTACGACGTACAGAAATAAGAATTTAAAAATGTAAAAATATATGGGGTGTTTCATTTAAAATAACAAAGTTCATAATTTTTTTAAGTCTATTTTCAAAATCTATACAAATTTTTCATGGGAGGGAAAAAAAATCAAATTTTGTCGTACTGTGTAATTAGTCATAAGTCGTAGTCATAATAAGTTTTTTAGAAGTTTATTGAAAATACCCTATACTACATAAAAGAGACTATAATAGTAATATTATGTATAAAGTTTTATAAACGCCATTTTAATTACGACTTTTATTATCACGAGCGAAGCTTGCGAGCGAGTGTTTAATAAAAAACGAGTGTCTAGAAAAGTTTATAAAATGTGTTGCATACTACACTTTATGTACGACGTAGAGAAATAAGAATTTAAATGTATAAATAATTGACATTTGACGAATTTAACCTCACTTTTTCGCAATTTATAATAAAGCTAACTAACTCTTTAATGTAGGAGTAGATAAACATATTAACCAGTGCTTACACCATAATAGTTATTTATGTATTAAGGAAATAATAAGGTTTTTATGGTCCGAGGCGCTATTTCGAGAAAAGCGTCGTAGGACCATAAAAACCAGTTATGCCAGCAATGCATACAAAACTTTATGCACGATTAATATATTATTATTTTTAATATATTATTGTTTTTAAAGACGTTTACGTCAAAGAATTTTTGTTATAATTGTAATATTATAATGTCAACTGACATCAGTCAGTTTTAAAGTTTAAAGATGAATGAAATTGAGGAAGCAGCTGAAAAGGCGAAAAATTGCGGCCTGCTGCCGGAAAAATCAAAATCTTTATACGAAAAAACTTACTTCGAATATATCAAATGGTGTAACATTGTTGTTTTTAATTTTTGACGCAATGCATACAAAACTTTATGCACGATTAATATATTATTATTTTTAATATATTATTGTTTTTAAAGACGTTTACGTCAAAGAATTTTTGTTATAATTGTAATATTATAATGTCAACTGACATCAGTCAGTTTTAAAGTTTAAAGATGAATGAAATTGAGGAAGCAGCTGAAAAGGCGAAAAATTGCGGCCTGCTGCCGGAAAAATCAAAATCTTTATACGAAAAAACTTACTTCGAATATATCAAATGGTGTAACATTGTTGTTTTTAATTTTTGACGTTTCATTATAGCCCGCTGGGTCATAATAACGCCCGCGGGCTATAAAAAGACGTTTACGTCAAAGAATTTTTGTTATAATTGTCATATTATAATGTCATCATGCATAAACAATTTTTATACGAACCCATGTCCCAATATATAATGTTTTTTTCGATATCCAGGGGCTAATTTCATAATTCGATGTTTCTCACAATTTTTTTCTGTATCTACTGAAGCTCTTTTGTCCATTTTCCACTGCCGTATATGTAAGAAAGTTACAATTTGGGAAAAATAAATTTAATTTCAACCTCATCGAATAAACCCATTTCAAATATACTGTACAGTGTGTGCGATTTAAGACCGCAGCACCCCATAATTTTGGAACAGGCCTTGAAAAAATGTAAATTTAAAATTTTCTCACTATATCCTCAAAAAAAAATAGTGCCATGAGCTATATTTAAGCATGTGAGAAAATTTTAAATTTACATTTTTTCAAGGCCTGCTATCTCCTGCAAAATGGGTCGAAATTTAGACAACGATCATTGGGCAATTTTTTTTCGAAAAATGGATAGCGCATTTGATTCAGGCGTCCCTCATATGCCTTTAAGCAAAGTTGAGCTCAATACCTTATATAGGGTGTTTTTCACAGCGAGCTGCGGCGTAGCAAATTTTAATTTTTTTTACTTTTTAAATGACCCTGTATAAACGTCTATCATGCGAACAAATAACGTATTCATTCGACTTAAAGTCATGCCATCTAACAGGAGGGTTTTGGGGACAAACCCCCCAGAAATTAAAAAAAAACGTATAATCTGACAAAAAATTTGATTTGAGTTCAAGCTTTGTATAAAGGTATTTGAATTAAAAAAGAATGGTCTTTCTCTAAATTTTACCAGGTCTTAGAAAATTTAAAATTTTTCCACATGGTCAAATACAGCAGCTCATCGGGCACTAAGTACCCGTTGTGGTCTTAAATCGCACACACTGTAGAAGGAGCATACATTCATTTTTCCTTTTGTATATTGTAGGTATAGGCTGGGTAAAGAAAAATTAAAAATTAGTGCTATTATCTAGATATTTATTGCATAATTTAAAATACAAAAATATAAAGTAAAAACTTTGGTATCAATTTTCAAACACTCCTAGTCACTTATTTATAAATAAAATGAACAAATTAGTAACAATCGAATGGTCCTTGGCCAAAAAACTTATATAAAACATCATAAAAAAAAACTTCTTTAAGATCTTCCAAAGCTACATTCATTGTAGTGTTGATATTTAAGTAGGGTAGTATTAAACCGGTACTGGATACTTTTGGCCATCGCATACCTTCAAGGGTTTTATCAGATCGGATTGTAGGTTTTCTAAAATAATAATAATAATATTTATTTATTATATTATTATTTAAAAAAATATTTACCCGTATATTGCAAAATTGGTCCACATTCTTATAACTCTTCTACTTGTTAAACTATCTGCATAATCTACATTCTTAAGTAATTTATTTGGAAAAATATATGATACATCTTCTCCATGTCCAACTCCTAATGATATAAAAAATATTATGAAGTAAGTGTTTTGTTTTTAATATAACTAAATACCATTAAATGGTCTTATTCCAGGATATCCCAATTGTCCCATGTGGGAAAAAACATAATAATATGTATCAGCATAGCGAGCTTGTAATTGAATTGTTTTTATTATACATTTATTAAATTGGTCAAGGCTAATAAACTAAAAAATATTAATAATAGCCACATATTTTTTGTAAAAGTATATTTAAATAAATAAAATAAATAAATAAATACCTCTGGTAGATGGTTCATGGTCATGGGTCCTGCTCCAAAATACCTGTTGTAAATCATACTTCCAGCAATCAATTTATTACCAGGTTGGGCATTCATTGATACTGGTGTTAATTCTGCCTTATCTAATTCGTATTTCTTTACATACATCATAAGTATATCTAAATATAGAAATAATTTGTATTATTTAAAAACTTAAACATCTGATTAACTAACTTTCAGATGTAAAGGCGGCTAAAGCTTCTAAAGAATTATGACCTATAATAGTAGGCACTCTGTTGAATTCTCCTTTTGATAACATATCCTGGCTTTTGCCAGTCAAAAAAGCTCCTTCCAAAGATGGTTCAATAACCGGACCTATTGGTAGACCACCCAAAGCATTCCCAACCACAGTTTTCTAAAAAATGTATTACAGTAAACTAATTTAGTGCCTCAGCAAAAACTTGAATTTTGAATTAGGTTTCAACTTATGGGGGTCCAGTATTTTCAATTCAAAATTAAATTTCTTTCAGGATCATTCTTAATTTAGATTAGATATTAGATACTAACTTCTGCGGAAATAACTGATGCTGCTTTATGTAATTGTTTGGCAGGTACTTTTCTAAATTCATCAAGAAGTTCAGACGTACTTGTAACAGTTATATTTAGTTTCATGGCCACACTTAAAGCAAATAAGGAACTCCCTCTTGTAAGGGTCCATTGGCATAAGCTAGTGCCGCTTTGCAAGATAGCTTTATGGAATAAACCTTTAAAATATGCGTTATAATAATATAGATCTAAATTTGTCGTTATAAAATACCTTTAGACATTGGCGATAATATATGGTACGAAACAGAAGCTGCTCCAGCACTTTCACCAAAGATTGTTATTTTATTTTGATCACCATTGAAAAAACGTATATTTTTTTTGACCCATTTCAATGCTAACGCTTGATCTTTAAGGCCATTGTTTCCGGGAGCTTTAGTATTTCCCATACTAAGGAAACCAATTAATCCAAGTCTATATTGTAAATGAACTAATATAACACATTCCTTCATTATATATTCTGGATTGGTTGAATTCAAGTTAGCGTCTCCATCAACGAAAGCTCCCCCGTGTATCCAGACCATAACAGGCATTACTTTTGGGCATTTCTAGAAATATAATTACATTGTTTGCAATATTCTATGTTTTAAATTGTGTTTACCTTATTAATGGGAGAATATACTTCAACACACAAGCAATCCTCACTTCCACTTCCATCTGATTGTACACATTTGCTACAACTGATATTTGCAATAAGAGTATTATTCCACTTCTCTATAGCTTCTGGCTCCTAAAAAATAAAATTGAAATTAATATAAATATAATATTAATTAATCATCAATTAATTACCCTAAACCTTAGTTCATTTAATGGAGGTTTAGCGTAAGGTATTCCTTGCCAGGCATTAAAGACACTGCTTGTTGTATTTACAATATGTCCTTTTACTAACCCTTCATCGACTTTTACCAGCAGATTCTAAAAAATACTTACTTTAGTTTTTGAATGCAATTACTTTTTTTACTTTTGACTTACGAATTTGTTTGAACTTTTTTCGGCTTTATTGGCGAATATAAAGCATACAATAAGTAGTTTAGTTATTTGATTCATATTGATGCAGAGACTGCAATTTTTAATTCTAAGGTATTATTTATATCTAAACACTATCTATTGTTTACATTTTGTATTAGACATTTTACGTTATTATAAATATATTACGAAATCTCACATTCAAATTGTAGAAATTTGTTTTTATGTCCCAATTATTCTTATTTTTATTATAGTAGTACATTTATTATGTACCTACTTAAAACAAAAATATTCTTATTTTTTTTAAGAATTTAGGCATAACGTTTTTCATTCTTTTTAAGCGATTTTTTTCCTCAAAACAAAAATATAATAATAGTATATTCTGTAACAAGTTTGGAATACGGCATATTTCGTTCAAGTGAAAAGTTTGTCACACGAGCCGAAGGCGAGTTTGACAGTTTCAAGAGAGTCGAATATGCAATTCTAAATGTGTTTCAGACTCTTATTTCTCTACGTTTCCAAAAAATACCATAAAAATAATTTAATTGAGAGAAAGTGAGGTTGGATTGGGCTAAAAGTTGTTGGATAATGAGCACAGAGATGGCGCCACCAATTCCGCCATCCGATTATAGAGTAATTCATTCTATAACACTTTAACGAATATATATATAATTAACATATATAACATATATAACACTTTAACGAATATATATATATATATATAAATATATATATATATATAATTCAACATTAAAAAGAACGCCCATTACGTAATAGCAGTAAAAAAAGTAATTATTAATTAAATTTAAGATTTTTAGACATAAGAGAACGTATTTATATATCTATTTATTTATAAATATTTTTTTAATGTTATATATTCTTCTGTACTTTTTTAACCAAATTCTTTGAGAGTATTATGTGTTGACACAAACATACCTAACATTAACACTTACTGAGCGTTGTATTAAATCAACATACATTTAAATCAGTGGCTTAAGGTAAGTACATAAATGCATGCGTCTTGTTATTTGCATAATTCATATCGCATAGTTTAAGAAAATATTGTCTGGTTTAAAGAATTAAAATAGAAAATTTTAAACCAGAGTATTGCGTCCGAACTTTAAATGGGTTTGAGAAAACCGATTATGGTTTCCTGTGAAGAGAGTTAATAATGCATTATTTTTTTAATGTTTTAAGGTTTCAATACACATTATTAAAATAATGAGTAATGTGTTTAATTTTCAATACGCAATACTTCTTTTAAAATTAAGTTAATTACTTACTCATTATATTTTTCTCAATGAGTAATGTATTCTTTTTACATTACTCATTTTTAATTTGTGATGAGTATTTTGAAATTACAATTTTTTATGTTAATGGGTAATGTACGTACTTTACATTTTTAGTGGGTAAGGAAGATATTTATTTATTGCATGACACATTTTTTCAATTTTTGTTTTGAATTGGGTTTTTACCAGTAACAGACGTTCAAAATTAATTATTCCTTCATACCATCGCGGATTCAATACTTTTTTGAATTTAGGTCGCCTTCTCACCTATTATAATCCCACTATCAACCCCGGCTTAAAATTTCTTGAGTGGGCAGAAATTTAACGTAAAAAATTGCAAGGAAATCGAAGAATACAAACAAATTAAAATTTTAAAACTCAAAATTCGCATGCAAATATGCTTTGGATAATTTTGATACCAAAAACGCGATTGTTTTGAAAATTTGATAACGGGTAATTATAAAATTTCGAACTTTACCAGAAAAGGGATTTTTAATGGATACTTAAAAATATCGAATAATAAAAGATATAAAAAATCAACATTTTTCAAACTGTCAGACTTGGTGTAAAATGCCCCATATAAAGAATCACCCCACCAACCTCATCCCTGATCATTTTTCACTGATGGAATAAGTAATGTCTTTCTTTACACATTTTTGTTTAATTATGATTTACGGTCTCTCATAACTCATTTTATATTTTTTAATGTGTAATGTAATGTTCCGCATTACTCATTATTTTTTTAATGCGTAATGAAAATATTTCTCATTAATTTTTTTTTAATGATTAATGTATTCAAACTACGAGTACATTACCATTAAAAAAATATCGAATGCTTTATTTTTACATTTTTGCTACTCTGTGAGTCTGTGAATCGATTTTTACCGAATCACGGTGATTCGAAAACAAATAACGGTGGAATGGCCAAATTTTTACCTTTTTCATTTAGGTGAACTACTTCCGTCCAATGGCCCGATTAGCGTACATCTAAATTGGGGGAAAAGTTGCTTCAGGAAGTTCACCAAATTTTGTTTCTTGAAAATGAGTTGGGCAAACAAAAAAGGTTAAAGTGTAAAAAAATGCATCGTACTATACTATCGAATTAAAAAAAATGACCGTTCAATTTTTTTCTTAATTTAAAAAAATACTTATATGTAACTAAAATTAAAAAAATGTAAATATTTTTTGTCCAAAATGGTTAAAAATTTGATTTAAAATCGATCAGAAAAAAAGGATATTTATACTATTTTATTGTTCTAGCATGCGGGTTCGATAATTGTTGCCTCCACAAGTTTTTTATTTTTATTTTATGAATTTACATAACGAAATAATACAATGTGATATTTAAAAACACTAATATTTAATTTTATATTAATAATTTAAATTATTTACCCTTCCTTATCATCATTTTGCTATATATGCTATATAATATAATACTTATCTAATCAAATAAATATTTCTTTATTAAAAAGTGTTGGGTTTGGTGTTGGGTTGGTTTGATTTGTTTTAGTTTTATCGTAAACCGTTAATTATCGGGCAAGTGACCTGGCATTTGTTTTTTTTAGTCTCTAGGGCTACGCCTATGTAATTGACCACCGAGGCTCTTTATAAAAGGTGATTTGTTCACAACTACTTTTAGTCACTCGGCGCTTGTGGTTTGGATTCACTTCAAACTCCAAACCATCTATTAATGAAGCCATTTAGATAAAAGTGCTCCTCGCCAGATAATACTATTTTCTGTACCTACCTACGAATTGTTCTTTAAGTAGATCAAACAAAACTCGAATTTTGATAATAAGTTTAAAGAAGTTCGGAATAAAATGACATGGTGAAACTTCAAGCTTAAGTACAGCAAATGAGGAAGCATTTTTTTTAAACATATATAGGCTCTTTGTTAGGATCCGTAACCACTTTTTTAGTTTTCCTTATCGTTAAATTTAAACACAATAGGTTATTTGGTTATTCTTTAAATAAAACAAACAAAAAAATTATTTTTTTTACCAGGATTTATTAACTTCTTGACAAAAGTGAAAATGTTATATTTATTTTAAGTTTATAAGTACTTAAATATTAAATATAAAAATATTATTATATTCATGTTTTATTGCATTAGATAAACAAACAAGGTATTTATAATATCAAATGGTTCAATATACTCAAATAACAACAATATTTTGTAAGTAGGTGGGTATATTGAACTATTATTTACAAGTCTATATCGAAAAACACTTGGTAATTAAATTGTTTTTTTTATAATAATAATAATAATAATAATAATAATAATGGGTCTTTATTTTTTAATTAGTATACATGTATGTAGGTATATTAGGTAATAGGTTAATAACAGTAAGAGTACAATTTTGTACTCGACACTGATCTTCGGCATTTTTTCTTTTAGATATGTACATTTAGGATTTATTAATTTTTGTTTTCTTTTAATTATAAATATCTTGTATACAAGAGTACAGTACTCTTACAGTAAGAGTCTTACTGTTATTAACCTATTACCTAATATACCTAATTATTTAATTAATAATAATTAAACTATAAAAATTATGTTTTTTTACTCCCACCTTTAAAACACACATTATAGTACATGTTTCCATGACACTAAGTGACCTTTTAAATACACATTGACAAGTTGTGGCTTTATGGCGTTTTTGTCAAGGGCTGAAGTCCCTGTTGTAAATGCCATAAAAAATCATAAATGAAAAACCACTGCTGGTTCCAATATCATCCTTTATGATTTCTGAAACAGACATACCATTTAGGACCATATTGGAAACGCAGTAGGGAATTACATATATGTTCCCTAATGACAATTACTAGAGTTCCATGTAATGTGCCAGACATTTCATTTAGGATCATATTGGAAACGCAGTAGGGAATGACATATACCCTATCCCTAATGACAATTACTGCAGTTCCATGCAATGTGCCATATTGATTCCGATTGGCTTAAATATGAAATAACCACAAGTTTCATATATGTATTTTAATGCAATTCCATGTTGCTTCCATCTATTGCATACCGATTTGCATATAGGTGCCCATTCCATTATTTGATTAAATTTCAGTGCAGTGCAATCTTGTTTAAAGATTTTAAAATGAATTCTCCTTCTAAAAAAAAGGAATTATACTTTACACTTGTACTAAGAATAATAAAAACCATCAAAATACTTTTACTTCATATTTTTTTATAGTTAATGGAAAATGCAACTTTTGTAATATCCTTATAGAATTAACAATAAGACGAACTTTATCCTCAATAAATTCCACAAATGCATAACAAGCCATTATATATTGCACACTGTGTGCAGCACACAAAAATATATTATTATATGTATTTTCTTATAGTTTCTTATCTGGTTATATGGTAAAATTACTTATACATACAAGTTCTTTTTATATGTTTTTCTAGTTATGTATATGGCACATATAAAATGCTATATATTTGGATATACATACCTAGCTATATATACCCTTATATACCCCAAATTTAAAAAAATAATGGTCAAAATTACTCAAGTTACTCTCTTAAGGCTACTTTTGGTTATCTATGGCCTCATCTCGTTTTATCATGCTTTTTAAAGCTTTTCTCATGCGCATGCGCCATTAAATTTTTGGACCTGGCCATACAATCGTCAAAATAAAGCCACTATAATGATTTTTATAAAGTGAGGTTAGAACCGTCTAATAGATTTTATTAAAGTATTTAATTTTTTGTGTTTGTTATAGAAAAAGTATGCAATTCGTTTTATTAACTTCTATAGACAAAGGTTTATTAACCCTTAACTAGTCGCGCAG